ACCAGATTCGTACACTAACTATCCTAGTTTGGTTCGTCACAGTGTTCAGTTTGAATACTGTACACGGAGAAACGAGTTGGAACATTTTGAGTTCGATTTAAATAAGTGCTTGTACATTTTTATATAAAAACAGAGGCATACATGCGTATTGGAACACCACCAAAGAGTTGCGATAGTGAAACCTAGAATTAATTAAAGAACCGTACTCATCAACACCACCAAAAAGTTGCCGTTTCATTGTAGTATTCTGCAAGAAGGTTCCTTCTCCAGACGGGCGCTCCAATTGGAGTTACGATTGAACACCAAGTTAATTCAAATTCAATTCAATTCACCAAATGTTATACTTTAAGCAAATTTTTAAAAATATTTTTTTATAGCCCGGTTGGCAAATTTCAAATAGTTTCCCACCTGACTTCCAATGTGCTAGCCAGTATTATAATTTTACATTGAGAACAGCGGGGCTATTTTATAAAATTTTCTGTAAAACGCGGATCCGATGCAGTTCCGCGCGTGAAAATTTTACAGAATATCCCCGCAGTATTGGTGTTTATACAAAAACACCATTCTGAAAGGATTTTTTTTTCGGCGGTTTTAAAAAACCTTACATACTGAACTTTTATCCTGGCAATAACGTGTGGAACTTAAACATAGTAAACCATTTTGGTAAAATCATTTGGAAATCATTAGCGCATACTAAATAAGTATACGTTAAACATCATAAATTCATTTTCATATACCTACCCAAAAAGATTATAATGGTTTCACTTGTATTATCAACTTGAGATCAAATCAAAACATCCTTACTCTCGATACATTAACCTTAAGAAATCTTATCAAAATGAGACATCGTGTTTCCATCGACACCTCCTCGCCACACGTTTCCGCTTCGCTCAACAACATTCCATTTCATATAGTATGCCGTACAGAGTTTCTGAATTAGGTCATCGATTTAAACAGAGAGGAACCAATTTTCTGGTCCGTTGCCTCTGTCCCGGTCCCATGTGACTTGGGAATTCTTTTTTCCATCGTCTCTTTATTGTATAGCTGCTGTTTGAGGAGTAAAAAGTTGGACGTAACTTTTGTGCAAAAAGTACTCTCGAAGAAGACAATGTCAAATTTCGCTATGTAAAGTAGATAATTGTTAAAGTTTATCAATAACGTTTTTTTTATTATTTATATATTTGTTTATCATCTTCACGAATGCGATATTTATAGGACGACTTCCGTGGCCGTGTGGTTTGTACGCTGGATTTCATGGTGTCGCCGACTTGAGAGGTCCCGGGTTCGAATCCCGGTGGGGGCAGATGTTTGTGTGATGAATACAAGTATTTGTACTCCAGTCATGGATGTTTAATATGTATTTCTATAATATAAATATATTTATATATGTACTGTAAGTATTCTATCCGTTACCCTAGTATCCCATAACACAAGCTTACAGTGCTTACTTTGGGGCTAGGCTAATTGGTGTGAGTGTTGGAAATATTTATTTAAATATTTACAGGAGCCGAGATACAGGGAGACTTCTCAGTGAAATCATGCAGGCATAAAAACCAGCTTCGGAGATTGACATCAGCCACAACGAATTTTGAGTCTAAATTCTTTGTATCAGATTTTGATAACTTATGTAAGAAACAATTATATTTAAAAAAATACATTTTGTATAATATCAGAATGTAATTTTATATTTTATAGAAAATGGCAAACTATTTTCTTTGAGTTGTATATAACAAGTAAATAAATATTTATTTCAATCTCTTTTACTTACAAGTCTATGAAAACATATTTATTATTATTATTAATGTTTATTAATAAATAAATATTTCCAACACGCATTCCAATTAGCCTAGCCCCAAAGTAAGCACTGTAGGTTTGTGTTATGGGATGCTAGGGTAACGATATATACAATATATAAGAATACATGTACTGATATATATAAAGAATATATGTATAGAAATACATATTAAATATCCATGACTGGAGTACAAATTTTTGTATTCATCACACAAACATCTACCCCCACCGAGATTTGAAACCTCCTCCTCCTCTCGATTAGGCGACACCTTGAAACCCGGCGTACAAACCACGCGACCACGGAGGTCGTCAAGAAAAAAGATTTTGATTTTGTTTCAAAAATTTATTTTTTAGAATTTTTTATAATTTTAGTCTGACAATTCAGAGGAAAATGTCATCAAAATTTTGACGTAGAACCTTTATAAATTGTTTCAATAAACCATTTTTTATGCAGTAGCGACATTAAAATAATAAAATAAGCATAGGGGGTCCATAAGCAATACGAATATATCATTCTTAATATTATATCTATTTTTTGACACTCTGAATTTGCTGCTGGTAGTGAAGTAAGCATAAATAAAATGGAAATGTTGTATATCCTCATAAAACACCCATATTTTATCCTAAATTCGAATAGGAAATTAGATACTTCCGTCCCGTAGAGCTTTGGCTGCGAGTGAAGAACCGTGAGGGGACGCCGATAGATGTGGCTTTATTCGCTCCTCAGCATTGCCCTGGCATGAGAAATACGTCTCAAGTCGTCGTCGGCACTGATTCGTATGACGTTCTACCAATCGAGAAACAACTTTCGGTTTTCTGCATCCTCTAATCGTCTCCGCAGTTAAAGAAAAATCTGATTATATTGATATTTTGTGCAGTAATGACTTTTACCATTTATCAGTGTCCATGTCTGTGTTTGATAAAGGTTTATGAATTTTTTATTCAACATTGAAAAGGTTACCACAGCCAGGTACTCATTAGCGAGCTGTAACCGTAACATCCCCCTATCCAGCTCTCCCTATTCCATCCATAGGGAAGGCCTGTGCCCCAGCAGTGGGGACATTAATAGGCTGATAATGATGATGATGAACCGTAGCATGCGTGATACAGGACGAGGTTCTAGTGTTTACGCTTGTTACAGTTTAGGCTCACGAAGTCGCCGAAGCGCTTTCACCTAGCGTACTCATTTTTAGAACTTTAACTATAACCAAACAGATACAGTAACGAGGTTCTAGTGTGTACGAGAAGGCCACTGACAAGCCGGATCTGTGCAGTGGTGGTCTGTAGGTCCACGATGTTGGACGAAGTATCTGAAAGAAGACATAGTTTTATTTTTAATAGTAACTATAACTGCAATCATAGATTTTTTTAAAATCGCCTGCTACAACTGGGAATCAAACTCGTGAAATTCGTTCAAGAAGCCTACTCAACTCAGGTACGTGATTCTTTATTAACGCCGTCATTGCAAACCTTTACTTCTCGGACGGTTAGCGACGAAGCTCGCCACTATTTTCTAAGTACCCTACCCTATACTCTGGGTGTATGAAATATTCATCTTTACCTTCTCTCCATCTTTGAATGAATTTCTTAATAATAGATACCTCAATATCCAAAATTTTGTTGAAAAATTCTACATGATCCATGTTTAAGTATTTTAAAAGGTGGAAGGAACAACGGAAAAACGTTCAGAAAAACAAGTCATACCCAATTTATAAGCAACGAAATTAAGTGGCATCCTTTTTACGAGACATCTTCAAATAATTCCCGGAATTCCAAAGGTTAAAGGGGCGACAACAAAAATTTTTAGGGACAAAATTAATTGGCCCACTTTAATTGTATTTGTGGATGTCATGGTTGTTTGCGCGAACACGCAAATAATTGTTTTAACAATATGCGAGCTCCACGCTATTAAAATATGAATACTCATGAAACACAATGGGAAGTGATCGAGCATTTGTTGTTATAACATACATTTTCAATTTAACGTCACGTCGTTCAGTTGGTTTTATTATTAATTATTCGAAATTAAAACTTTTAATGTTGGACACATATTACGTATTGAATTTTGCTATTATTTGCAAAAGTCTGAAAAATTCAATTCTTATTAATTAATTTATTTATTGTGATAAAAACAATCAAAAGCAATTACATAATATTAATGAGATGGTAATAAAATATAAAGCCCCCAGAAGTTTGATGATGACCTCATGTTTGTTTGCGTTGATTTACCTATCTATACGAGTGTCAAAATTTATCATACCTCCGTATGGATTTGGAAAAGGTTATTAATTATGATATCTTTACTGTCCATACTAGCGTAGCATATCTTCTATAATATAAAAATGAATCGCTGAATGTGTTGCTAAGCGCAAATCTCGAGAACAGCTGAACCGATTTCGATAATTCCTTTTTTTAGAATATTCCTTGAAGTATGAGGATGGTTCTTACGAAGAGAAATTTTAAAAAAATTGCCTGAAAATGTCCAAAAACAACACTTTTCTATACTCTCATACAAACGATTCGTAATAATACTTTAAAGTCAATTTGAACTTTAATACCATACCATAAATTTCAAATGTTAGTGAAGAGATTCTGGAAAGGCAAAACAATTGAGCGACGCGATGTCAATAGAAATTTGGAAAAGGCAAATATACCATTTTCAGATTTTTATAATCACTTATATGAAAAGTCATCTACACTACAGCTCTACACCGAAGCGAAGCGAGGACGGGCCACTAGTTAATATAAAAACAATAAAGATACACTTACGCCATTTCTTAAGTAATTAAGAATTACACCTGATTCATCAGGGAGAAATTCTCGTATAATCTACTTAATTTATTCACGTTACGGGCTTGTGACTTAACGTGAAATATTTAGCATTATCTAAATTTGGGTTGTCATTCACCATTAACCAGTTAATATATATAGTGTCGCATATTGGGGCATGGATAAATTCGTATTAATAGTTTATAAATAATTAACGTGCTTAAAAAGGTACTCACTCAAAGGTACAAAGGTTAATGCACTGAGATTTTTTTTAAATGAAACAAAATTATTTACCATTATTAATTTTAAAGGAAAATTAATCCCGCGTAAAAATAAGCAGGTACCTACTATCTACCTAAATGTACCGTTGTATGTATGTGGTATTTCCTGGTTTGATTTCAGACTGGTATCTCATGCAATTTATTATATTTACAGTATTTTTTCTTTATATTTGAAATAAAATAAAAAATAATAATTGAAATAACTGTATAATATAATATGGCAATAAAAAAAACAACACAATTATCGTCACTAACATTTATATTTGTCATCAAAATTTTAATCCTAAATTTAAAATTACGAATTTACAAAACAATAAATACTAATCAATCAGTCTTTTGGAAGATAATTTCATATTCTGATCGTTACCATTACGAACATTTTATAATCTCGCACATACTAAACTTAACAAATTTAAAATAAACATTTTAGGTGAATCCTCTTTGATTTATTAAAGAAATTCACATTTTTAAAAAGTATACCCATATTCCCAGATAAAGTAAATGCTTATTTATTAGACCAAAGAAATAAAAATCCCTCGCTTTATTTCTAGAACAGAAAAGGAATAATCAATCATTAATAAAATTTAAGCAGGCAAATGCAGGCATGAGATCCATAAAAATATTTTCTCTATAACACCCCTCTTTTTTCGTAGTATATCTACGAGTATTATAAGACGTTGCTCGAAAATTATTATTTGGATAAATTAGATCGTAAATTATGTACAGTTCACATATAAATTGATAGGTACAAAAATGCTATTCTTATAAGTTCTTATCAGATTGTCTCTTTTAGATGATGACTTAAAAGAAATTGAACACATTTTAGAAATAGATTATGCAAACATTTTGGATTCGCCATATAATCGTCGCAATATAAAGGCAGTTTAATTGTTGCATGACTAGTTAATAAGGGTAAAATAAACTGAAAAATATATTTTTAATTGAATCATATTCAATAATACCTAATATCATTGTTTATTGACATTCTCTTTGTCTTAACGTTTATATACATTTTTATCAACTTTATATACAGTTCGCTTAAAGTACAAAAATACTATTAAATCACTACCAATGATCAAGACTTCTGAGATATTTTCAATGTATTGATATTAATCGAATCTTTTTTATATTTGATGATATCCTGAATATAAATAAAAAAATTCAACACATTATACTATAGTTTTAAATTTAGCCAGTTATAAAAATAATCAACACATAATACTAAAGTTTTAAATCCAGTCAGTTTCGCTAGAAAAAAAATTGTTACCGTAACTTACAAATTCAAATACGGCTTAACTCTAAAACTCTTAATGTACATGAGATCAGAAAAATGTATAATTATCTATTGCATTGTTGTAATGAACACAACCAGAAACTATTAAATCTAAACCATTTAAGACTATCTACTCAGCTACCTGTGGTGTGGCACCCTGCATGCTTCTGAAAAAGAAATAAATATTAAACAATATAATAATTTTAAGATATTAAATTTAACTTAAAAATCATAAGAATCCATGTATGAAACCAATACTTTAAGAAACTTATTGTTTGAATTTGAAGCCTTTGGTACAAATATTACCAACTTGCCTTCTGGTCAACTGATTAACTGACTAATAAAGTCAATTTATGCTATTAATGCACTCTACGTGGTTATACTTAAATGCTATTTGTTAATTTCTTCTCTCATTTCATACCCTATAAAACATGATAAGGATTATATATATAATAGGACATATTTACCAATAGCAAATATGACTATTCATATGAAATGATAGCTTAAGAGCATGTTATTTTATACAAAATAAATAAATAAATAAATAAATATTTCCACACTCGCACCAATTAGCCTAGTCCCAAAGTAAGCACTGTAAGGATTGTGTTATGGGATACTAGGGTAACGGATAGAATATACATATTGTACATATATAAATATATTTATATAGAAATACATATTAAGCATCCATAAGAGTTAGACTCTTCAATAATGCAACATCTGATAACCTAGACTTGTTTTATACTAGCTGTTCAAAGGTGAAGCGAATTTTGACAGGAAAATATTTTGAAATGTAGTTTATCAGTAATTTTAATGCTCCAATGGTTAAAACATCATTTACCTCAAAATTGGTTAGACATTTTTTATATGTTGTCTGTGTGTGAGTTAAGAAATTTATGTAAGTGTTATATGTGGAAATTTATTATTAGCATGTGACTGATCATAGTTTTAATACATTTTGTTATTTGTCTGTAAATTTCCCAAATAAAATAAAATAAAGAAATAACTGGAGTACAAATGCTCGTATTCATCACATAAACATCTGCCTCCACCGGGACCTCTCGAGTCGGCGACACCAAGAAACCCGGCGTATAAACCACTCGGCCACGGAGATCGGAGGTGATATAGAGGTAGGTAGGTATATCATTTTGTCTATTGAAGAAAATTACTTGTACATTAGCAAGATATTGCGGTTGTAAACTATTTCACAGAGCTCTCCTGCGGTGGAGAGCGGTGAACTTTGCTTCCTTAGACGGGCACTTTGATTCAGAAAATCTGCTATAGGATATAGCAATCACCTCTATTAGTTCTTTTTTTTGATTCAGAACAGCAAGTAATTTCTAACAAAAAATATAAGTTTTTTTCAAAATTAATGTACAGGACACAATTATCTTAATGTTTAAAAATAGATCGCAAAGTCTGCAAAATCATACTGACCACTTGCTTTTATGGAACAAAAATTAAAAAAGAATATTAAAAATAAAAACTGCACGTTAACAATGAATTTCCATAGAATTTTTCTGCCCGTTTACCGCGGTAGAAATAGATTTCAACACTTTTTCAGCTAACTTTTCCAGCGCGTTTAGTAGTACAACAGTAAAGAGGTACTTTCTGCTTAATTTTTAAAAACAAGACAACAACAACCGCACTTTCCGAGCAAGTGCAGTATATCATCTTACTTCTTGGTAAGCTTTTCAGTGTGGTCGTCCTCGATACGCAATCGCTTTCTTCAGACTCCGACCTCATTTGAAAACTGGTTTCTGTAATGAATAGACTAATTTGAATACCGGCCTTTCACCTGCAAACTGGTAGCTCTGTGTCAATGAAAACTCTTTCTGATTATTATCATGTCGTCTACTTAGAAGTTGAAAACCAGCGCCAGTGCATACTGCACTGCCATTATGCTGAACTGGGCCCTTTTCAGCGCAGCCGTGGATACGGAGTGGTATAGGTATCGATTCTGGCATGATTCTATTAACTTAGGACTGAGTTTGGCATCGGTCAGTCCTTTTCATTCACTATACGTAGTGACAGGGATACGCTGCTGTCAGGTTTAAGTTTCCGTATGGGGGGTCGTGCCGGAATCGACGCCAGATGGTATATGTTAAGTGGTATTTATTAATGTCTGTATCTTATTGTCATTTTGTAAATTATAAGTATAACAATTTATCTGTATCCGTGTACTGTGCTGAATAAACGATTTTGATTTGATTTGATAATAAATAATCGTTGTAACTCTGACAATATCCAATGTTAATTGATTATTATTCAATTAGATGTGACAGAAAGTAATTTATATCAATCTATGAGAAATTGTATCTTACGTTCTTTATACAAGATGCTTACCACTATCATATCTCGATTTGCTGTTACCCGGTAGATGTGTTCTGTTTGGGACTTCTTGGTTATCTACATGCCCAAACGTCCGGAATCCAATAGCAAACTGCGCGTAAGGACTGATCTCATATAGTTCTGGAACCAGAATATATTTTTTTGCTTATTTATATAAGTATATACATAAATAAATGCCATAGGTCTTAGCTACGTCTGTTGGATCTGGGTTATTTTCCTTTAATTGTATATATAAGGATTTTTTGTAATGAAGCGGTGAGAACATCAGAGAGTTTGACGATTTTTTTGTTTTTTCTAAAAAACGGGGCATTGTAAGGCTATGTACTGCTTTACTTTCATAATTATCTAAAAACTGATAGTGAAGGCAAACAAAAGAAGAATAAAGGACCGACTTGCCGAGGATCACGAATACGTACACACTATGTGGTCCTTATTCGTAATTAACCTACACTCTGCAAGTTTATCATTAATAATTATTTTCGTTTTTTAAATGTTAGTAGAAAAACTCTCTTACCATGCTTAGTATCAGCTGTAAGATGAACTGGTGTACTATATACTCTGTTATTCACATCTGTTGGCACACTTTGTGGTGTATTTGCAGTGACATTACTTCTTTCTGACTTACATTCAGCTGTTAGCGAATTACGATATTCGGTTAAACGTTGATGACTGCAAAAAGAAACAAAAATGAAATTAAAATTTTAAAACATTCATCTATGATGACTACATTTTTACAATATTAATAAAGTTTGTAGGATCGAATTATATTTTCGTGTCATGATCTAACTCGAATAAAATATTTTTTCTTTGATTAAATGAGAAGCTTTTCATTAGCTGTATTAAATATTAGTAAAGATATTTTGGTTACTTACTTATGCCTCTTTATTAGTATATAAATACACGTCAAACAACAAATCGTTAGTAGTATTGAACTGCATATGATAACAAGCATGTTGATATCAAAGAATTCAGATGGTGGTCCTATTGATTCTGTAACGAAACAAATTAAAGAGCTATATTTTTGTTCCCAGGCAAAAAATTAGTAAAGACGTTTAGACAGACTTGGATTAAGAAGATATTTCATTTAAACATTGATATAGTTTTATTGTCACCACTTAAAATAGATTTCGTAAAATAAATACATGCTGAAATGATAAAAACGCATAATATAATACATTATCATTTGAAATAGCTTTATATCGAGATCGGATATAACGGAACAGTAGTGAACACTCAAGTGGCTAATATTACAAAATACGATCACAAATCTACAAACCTCCCTTTGAAGTGGTTGTAGCATATGTATATAACGAAGTGGATACCCCAGCGGAATTTTCAGCGCATACTCGGATTTGATACCACTGAGCTGGTGACAAATCCCCAATCACAAAGGAGTTTGGTTGATTCAATATGGACGAAGATATGTAGTGATTCCAACCGGAGTCTAAATGAGGCTGAAATATTCATTATTATTAAATAATAGTAAATAAATACTTTCAACACTCACACCAATTAGCCTAGCACCAAAGTAAGTACTGAAAACCTTGTGTTGTGGATACATATAAAAGTATACTTTTATCTAGAAATACATACAAACAACCATGAATTAGGTAAAAATGCTCGTATAATTCATATTAACATTTGCCCACCGGGATTCAAACTCAGGACTAGGCGACACCTTAAAATCTCAAAAATAAAATTTCTTAAAATCACTCGGCCACTGTCGTCGTCAATAGTACAGGGTTTTCCAATATGAATAGGATGTTTTTGACAGCTTATTGTGGAAACATTATATAATAATCTATTGGCGCAAATTTTCGATAAATACATTTTTGTAAGTATGTACATACAAAAGATACATAGTCGCTATACAGCTGAGCAACGCGTTGAAATCAATAAAAAGTGTTGTCTAAACGGTAATTCAATTCATCGAACGTTTCGTGCGTTATAGGAAGCTAGTGGTCAACGTAGCAGTTGTACAGTTTGTACACCTTTTAATGTAGTTGTTGTTGAGATTTAGTTAATTGGAGTGCAGGAGAAAAAGATCAGAGAGAGATAAATACCGAGATATATTGTAAACAAAGTTACAGTTAAGGTGTAGGCTATTCTTGTCTCTAATGTGTGTTAATTAGTTCGCGTTTCTAATTGCACTGTCTTTAAATAAAGAAATAATAATTTATAATTACGATAATATGACACTCTAGGTAAACGCGGGTCATTGACGCGGCCTGAGTGACGTTCGCGGTGTTAGCAAATTTTTATGTACAAGTAAACTGTACATCTTGGCAAACCGAGAAAAACAAAGAAAAGAGATAAAAGGTTGACATGACAAAAGAGCAAGGAATAGCCTTAAAATTTAATAATAAATATTAACAAAGCAAAAATTGTTATTTTAATCGAAATTGAATGTAGCGTTGCTTGTTCCGGCGTTGAGACTCCGAGGAGGCTTCTTCGGGGGAGCTTCTGCTTCAATGTTGTCCCTCTGCATGTCATGTCTTCGGTAAAAGGTTTGAAGTTCGATGTCTGTAGGATGTGGTTGTTGGTTGTTATTCGAGATTGTGTTGTTTTTCTTCAAACAGTGAGGGCAGTATTTCCTTACAACCAACACAAGCAAAATTGCAACAGCTGACGTCAGTAACACGTAACTAATAATATATTGATGTACGTCATGACTTGATATTGTTGTCAATTTTTCGTTGTCTTTCAAACGAGTAATGTCTTCTTCGATCCCTTCCGTTTCACGAGCTGTAGATTGAAACACCATACGTGGCGTGTGATTATAAGTTAAGTTTACTATCTTGTTTACTGATGTATCCAATGTATTAGCTGCGATGTTATAATTCATCTTCATGCGGCTGCTGTAGTGATTGTGGGAGTAGATTGTAAAATCCTCAGATTGCAGCAGGCATCCCTGAGGTAACGTCACTATTCCTGATGACGTCATGGTGTGCGATGTAACGTCACTATTGCATATGGTACGTAATGAACACGTATCACAACATATGGTAAGCCACTTGTTAGGAGAATGTAACTCGATCCACGCGTTCTTGCATGAGGCGCGTTCGACGTCACAGGGCTGGTCATTTTGATGCGAAAGCAGTTTCGCTTCGCACGGAGCTGTTTTGCTATGCATATTGAAAACAGGTTTGTTTGTTTTGCATATGAATTTGTCCGATCTTTGTTTTCGGCAGTGCTCGAGATCTTCATCATTGAGTGAAATGTATATATTTTTCTCCAAATTCACTGCAATGTATTTGAAAGTTGTCTGTACGTATGATGTGTCCATCTCCTCGAATTTGACAGGTAATGGTATAATTTGATATAAGTTGAAATCTTCATTAGTTATTAGCGGTATGTGCATTTCGAAAATAATATAGTTCTCAGTGACTCGAGCTCTCACATAAATCAAAGTGTAGAGTTCCTTTATATCTTCCTTGTAGTTTTGCACTGGTAGTGATAAGTCCTTTGGTATGCTCCCAGATATGTCCGTTAATTGTTGTATGAGATGAGCAGGAGAAATCATATGCACATCTATGTGTCCTCGATAGACATTAGTGAGCGAGTCGAATAACATATTTTGGAAAGATCTTAGGTTGTTCATGAGTAAATACGCTGTCATCGAAACAGAGTTGAAATAGGAGTTGGCGGAAACTATTTGCATTTCTGTCTTCAATCTCGCCATATTTAGTTCAGTTTGATTCAGGAAGTTCTCGATCATATTAAACTGACGTTGAATATTATCTTCACTTTTTCTCAGCGCTTTATTTTCCAGTTCGACGATACTTGTTTGGTTTTTTATTAGCTCCAGTAAAAAGTCTTCATTGGTATGGATGGCTCGTATATCATTTTCGTATTTATGGGCGAACCGTTGATCTAAAACTCCAAATAAGCTGTTCGCTACATAACCCACTCCATCCAATAAGCCACGTTTCTTCCTGTTACTTAAATGTTTATGAGGATTCAGAAGAATTGTGTTATAATAATCTAGAAGTTCCATTTCGTGACTTAGCTGTTCTGTTGTCGCTCTGCAGTATAGTAAGTTAGTTCTGTAGCACAAGTTCTTCACAGTATCAAAATAATGTTCAATACGACGAGTTCCTTCCCAGTAGTTTGTTATGTTATAATACATAATGAGTATCCATTCATCGTGCATCAATTGCATTTTACCCATTGCGTCATAGTAGATAGGGCGCTCACGTTCGAAGTTAGTAATTTGAGCGCTTGACGACACGCCGTCAATGGAGCCATATGATCCCGATAAAACTGTAAACATGGTTAACATTGCTAATAACAGCTTAGATGTTTTGTTTCTTCCTTTTTTCTTTGAGCGCTCCAAGTTTGTTTTTATTTCTTGTTTAGATGAAAGATCCTCGTGATTTTCAATTTCAGTGTCTATGGGCAGGCGGGATAATTTTATAACTGGCCGCTTGGTTATTCCCGTTTGAGTTTTTATTGTTGTAACTCGAACATATCCGTCAGAACCAGGGTGAGTTTCAAGGACGCGCCCCAAGGCCCATTTTCCTGGAGGTAAGTTGTTATCCTTGACCAATACTACTTCACCGACCTTAATGTTGTTTGTGGGCTTGTTCCACTTGCTACGAGTTTGCAGTTGAGTCAGATAATCGTTCGACCAATTTTTCCAATATTGCTGGAACATTTGTTCTGTCAGTTGCCATCTGCGACGAACGCCGATATGAATATCATTGTAATCGGATGATGGTAACGTCATTATTGAGCTTCCGGTAAGGAAATGACCAGGAGTCAAACAGTTGTAGAATTCTTCAGGATCCTCAGTAAGTGGACACAAGGGCCTCGAGTTTAAGCACGCTTCGATCTTGGCCAAGAGAGTAGTCATCTCTTCGTAGGTGAGCTTCTGGTCGCCTAGTACTCGACGTAGGTGGTGTTTCATCGATTTGACAGCTGCCTCCCACAAGCCGCCAGCAGAAGGCCAGGCAGGGGCGTTAAAATGCCATTCTACTTCTAATTTGTTTAGTTGGTTGAAGAAGTCAGGTGTCATAATTTGTTTGAATTCTTCAAATTCTTGACGAAGTACCTTTGCAGCACCAATGAAGTTAGTTCCGCAATCTGAGTACATGTGTTTAGGGGTGCCACGTCTTGCACTCATCCGCTGGAAGGCTGCAATAAAGGTTTCAGTGCTGAGATCCGAGACAAGTTCAATATGTACCGCCTTAGTCGCCATACATATAAATATTGCTATATACCCCTTTGAAGTTTTAACGCCTCTGCCTTTGTTTATCTTGAGTTCGATATAACCAGAATAATCAACTCCTGTGAAAGTGAAGGGTCGACATGGAGTTACTCTTTGTTGTGGCAGGTGACTCATAATCTGATGGTTGTCAGTTTGACTGAAACGGTGGCAACGAACACATTTTCGCAGTTGAGTTTTGACAGCCCTATTGCCTCCGACGATCCAATATCTCTGCCTTATATGAGTCAACGTAAGCCGCGCTCCTCCGTGCAATGTTGTTAAATGCGACTGTTCTATTAAAAGTTGCGTAAATCGGCCAGTGCGTGGTAATATGATGGGATTTTTCATTTCCAGAGGTAAGTTTGAGTTCTGTAGGCGACCACCGATGCGTATGATTTTGTCGTTATCCAGGTAAGGGCTCAACTTTAAAATCACACTCTTCTTAGAAAGAATTCCATTGCACAAAAGTTGTTTATATTCTTGCCAAAAAAAAGTTTGCTGCACGTGTTTTATAATCATTTTGTTGGCTTCATGTATTTCACATGTTGATAGGTAAGTAGTTTCAGGTTTCCCTTTGGCGCGCATATTTGTTATACAGCGAAGTATCCATGCTGTTATTCGTAATACTCGTGTCAATGAACTACAATTATGTAATAATGTAGTTATAAAATGTTCTTTTTCAGGTTCCGAAAAAGTTTCCTTTTGACACAGATGATCATCGCCGATGTTGGTATAGAATATATTGCAATTTAGGTTAATTTCGGTTTCTACATCCTTTAGAAATGGAGGTCCATAGAACCATAAGTCAAAGTTGGCTAGTTTGCTTGGTAGCATCCCTCTCGTAGCGCAGTCAGCCGGGTTCAGTTCTGATTTGACGTAACGCCATTGATTTGTAGGTATAATGTGTTTGATTTTTGACACTCTGTTAGCTACATATGTCTCGCGCTTCGTCGTGTCGCTTTGGAGCCAAGCTAACACTACTTGTGAGTCACACCAGGCTCGTGTTATTAGTTGGTATCCAGGTAAAGCTTGTTGAGTTTTTTCCATCAGTTTAGCCAATAGTAAGGCACCACAAAGTTCAAGCCTAGGCAGTGTAGTTTTTTGTTTTGTTGGGGCAACCCTCGTTCGAGATGCAAGTAATGTAATTATCGGAACTCCGGATTTATTTGTCACGCGACTGTAGATAACACAAGCATAAGCTTTCTCGCTTGCGTCACAGAAGCCAAGTAATTCAATACATTGGTT